TCCATTCTCCTCGGATGAAGCCTTGCAAATCGGCTGATAATTTCATTATGGCCAATTACCATATTATAGTGGATATAAAGCAAGGCGGGGTTCCCAGGAATTAGAAAATAATTCACATATTCACATGAAATGGTTTTCTCATATGTTAACAGACTTGACAGGTGGCTTCTCAAATTTGCACTTTTATGCACTTTTAATTGCTGTATTATGCACACATTTTTAATTGGTACCTTCTGTATTTGTTTAAGTGAACACATTTTCAGATCATGTTGTAGGCATGTCTTTTTGTTTCGCATTATAGAAAAGGTTGTATGAAAATAGAGAACAACAGATTGGGTATCCTGTGGTGACAAAAACTCCAAGAAGAGCATAAATTAGCTACCCAATAGGACCAAGAAGGCTAATTTTCTCTCTTTTCAATGCAGCGCCACACTTTCTTTCCTCCTATGTATACTTGGGTGTTTCGAGGGCTCATTTGCAAAAATTAGGTAAAACTTACTTCTGTTAATGTCGAAGAGCAAGGGATGGCGCAGTGGTGAGAGCACTCGCCTCCCACCAATGTGGCCTGGGTTCGAATCCTGGCGTCGACGCCATATGTGGGTTAAGTTTGTTGTTGGTCCTTTCCCTTGCTCCGAGAGGTTTTTCTCCGGGTACTCCGGTTTTCCCCTCTTCTTAAAAACCAACACTTTCAAATTCCAATTCGATCGGGAACGCACGGACACATTTCAACGAGTTCTTATGGACTCCTTAGTGCTTTGTGGGAAAAATTACAATTTATTTAAAAGATGAACTGGTGAACGCAAACCCCAGGAAACTGGCCCAAGAGAAAGAGTCTCGAACTTAGCTTACGCCTCGTAAATAACATACAGGTCGGCAATATTGCAACTTAGAGAATATGCCAGGAGCTGTGGGCATACTTGCGATCATCCTTGGGTCAATTCCATTGTTATATCAACTAAGTTGATAAAGTAGATTGGCCATAGCAAAAAGGGAAATACACGGGAAACTTTAACATTACCATCAGACTTGAAGTGATCCAGAAAAGGGCTCTGTCAGGAACAGCTGGACTATTACGGAAAGTTTTATCCGGGACTCAAATGTGGACTCCATCGGGACTTTTAGGAACTTGTTGTCACTTGCTCCCGAAGAGTAAGGGTCACCAGTCCACTATGCTGGATGTACAACAAACATGAAGAAAAGGCAGATCATATTATATCTGAATGTCCCGAACTTGCAGCTGCATATATCCATTAGAAGAAGTGTCAGCATTAAAAAATAGAAGTACCGGAGAAGCAGTATAAACACAAGCTTGAGACGGTCACTGAAAATGAAGAAGTTTTGCTCCTTTGCATGGGATATGCAGATACATACGCATAGAGAGTTGTCAGTGAACAAATCTGATATAGGGATCAAGGATTATGCCAAATGATGTTGCAGGGTTATGGATGTGTCAGTACCATCCGACCGAAACACCTCGACAAAGGTCATTGAAAAGATCTCGAAAAACGAAGACCTTGAGATTGAAATCACGAAAACGTGGGTACTGAAGGTAGAGACTGTGCCCACCCCGTCTCACCTCCGGCCGACACCCCTACACGTTTTTTATCAGTCCCCAAGGACCAAGGAATGGGCCCGGTTCTGATAATATTAATATTATTTAATAATAATAATAATTAATAATAATAATAATAATAATAAAATAAATAATAATAATAATAATAATAATAATAATAATAATAATAATAATAATAATATACAGGCATAATGCAACTTTGATGATTCTGTTTTTTGAGCTCCTGCAAGAGCATCGGTTAATAGAAGAGGTTCCACCATGGTACTCACCTGTCATGCCAAAACCAGCCTACCAGAACACCACGAGTGAGGCGTTTTGGGATATTCCCATCTATGCAGAGCACAACGAAGTTAGAGCAAATCGGATCGACGCGCGACTTATCAGCCACGAGAGGAAAGAAGTCTGCACAATTGAAATGAGCTGCCCATGGATTGAGAGTAGAGCTAAGAAAGATGAGGAAAAGACACTCAAGTATGGGCCCATGATGTGGGAGCTGAAGCAGAGATACAATGGGTACAGGGTTGAACAGTACAACGTAGTAATTGACGTACAGGGTGGTTACTCTAAACACTTAGAGAGGTCGGTGAGGAAGCTACTAGGAGCGAGAGTACGGGGCGTACTTGGGCGGATGCAGAAGTCGGTCATCTCACACACTTTAAACATTGCCAGAACATTTAAGATAAATACTTAGTTAGGGCGCTAAGGACTCCAGTTTTTAGGGGTTTTTTTCTCTAGAAATCCAGAAACACAAGTTTGCTGATGTCTTTACTTAGATTTTTTAGAGTATTAGAGTTTGATATTATTCTAAATAGGCTTTAGTAGAGATAACCACATTATGATGGCCTCGTTTAGGTATATATTAAAGAGATAATGAGAGTATAAAAACTGAATAATTTTCCAAATAGGCTTCTGGTAGAGATAAGTTTATCATCATGTAATGAGTATAAGAATTTAATCATATTCTAAATTGGCTTTTTAAGTAGAAAGATTCATATCATTATGTATATTAGGATCGTATAGGTTTCATACCGACCTTTTCTTACTTCTAAGCATAGCTTCTCAAGTGGTGTAGGTTACGTTATGGGCCCTATACTACTCATAATGTGCACAGCATTCCAAAGTTCTATACTGCGAGATAATAATAAACATAAAGCCACTTTGTGAGACACCAGATACCTTAGGGTAAAATTTCGCCCAAATGTGGAATGTGACCAAGTTGTTACTGGAAACTTTCTTTTGTTAGGGTGAATTTGCTTTGCTGTTATCATTGCCTTCGCGGCCGTTTCGTTAGCGGACTACTGTTTGCCCATAATATGACACAACTGCCACTTCAATAAGAATATTTATTTGATGACGCCAAGCACGAGTGAGACTGAAATTGTGTAAATACAAAAATACTTAATCTCAAAATATACTTGACAGACTTCTGTCCACACGACCTCCATTTAAAGAGAGATCACTACCACCTAATAGGCTTCTTCTTAATTTACTTGAAAGCGTGAAAAGTCATCGCATATCAAGCAAAGAAATTTTAACGCACTTCCTGATTTTTATTTGTGGATTGAATTTGAGCGGTTGGTAGTCCAACGATCCAGCTGAATTTTCAGCCGACAGGGAATGGGTGGAAAATGTTCCATGAACTAAAAACTGTGCTACGCAATGGCCTCTTTAAAGCAAAACACTTCTAACTTAATCTGTTATTACTTTTCTGTCTACATTTCACATGTATTTCCGACAACAAACATAGTTAAGAAAGGGTCATTAATTAGAGTAACCTCCTACTGGGGATCCAGCTTAATTTGTCATTAAATTACCGATTGAGCTGACCAATTATGTTGTTTACGTAACATAAGTTGTTTAGAATCAAACTGCATCGAAAGAAAGGAATATTGACTGAACTGATATTAAAGATGGCGCCAGAAGATACACTGTCACAAGATGAAAACAAACAAACAAACAAGTAAAGAATGGGGCGCAAGCTGTACTAAACGTCGTTTGTTTGTAGTCGCCTCGGAGCAGTTCTGTACAGACATTAAGGAGCTATGCTACGAGGCCATTGTTGTTTTAGGTCAATTCTGTGCTTTAGTCATTACTTAGTACTTCACTCATGCAAAAAATGTTCTTCTGGAGTTATGAAGAAGATATCAAACATCAGATATCATATCATTCCATCAGAGAGCACCAATCATGATACTTTTTTTGCTGATTTTTGCTGGTGTTGGCCCAATTTTTTCAAGTTTTAGACCATATCCATCCTTTGCAACAAACGACAGGAAACAGTTTAAATGCCTACACAAAGTCTTGAACAACAAAAATTCGACAATTATTTTTGAAATTTAATTGATGTGAAGACACGTTCTAGCTTTTCAAGAAGACAGTAAATAGCCTCACCTAGCCCATTTTTAAAATAGACAACTTCCACTGCTATAGCAAATTATTAACCCGTTAGGAAAGGAATCTAAAGCATAATGAGAAGTCGAAACAAAATGCCTCTTGCTTGAAAATTATGAAGTCAACTGGTTGCTGCTAGCAAATCAACATTGCGGCGCTCAGGAACTTTAATTTCAATTCCGAAATTCACTTTGCACTTGTCAGAAGTATCAAATGCTCAAATTACTCTCAAAAAACCATTTTAGCTCCATTTGATTTAGGAGTGGAGGTTCCCACACACCGCGATGTTTTTTTTAAACATTAATTAAAGTAATTCGATAGCTCCAGCTTCTATTCTGACCAGAGGGATCTAAAAACATCACGTCTTGGCGTGTTACGACCAATTATCAAGTTTCATACGCTTTTGTCCTCAAAGGCTCGAAACATTGATAAGGAGCCTGCATTTTTCTACCCTATGTCAAGTTAACAGGTCTGGGATCAAAGATGAAAAGACGAAAGTGAGTGGAATTTTCAATTTCCAAGCGATGGCTGTAACGTGAGAATACAGATTTCGCGCAAACATTGATCAATGCAGCGATATAAAATATTATAAACATCAATAATAACTTACTAAAATATTTACAACGAGTCTATTTCATTGCAATGAATATCTTCTTGGAAGCTCAAATATCTTCAAGATTCCCAACTTGAAATAACCATATCAAAATATAAGGAGACAAATCCTTGACAACACTTTTATACACTAATCGCATATTGACAGTTTGGTCTCCCAGATAGAATATTTTCTCCAATTAATTTTCATCTTCATTCACATATATACAATCGAACCACCTATAACTGACATCTCGTGTTAACGACGTCACGTTAACATATTTAATGCGAACCAATATCAGTTTTTAAGCTGTGGAACTTCTTGATAAACTCAAGCACCGTTTCCCCGCCATTTTCAGCAACCGGCATTATGACGTAAGCACGCTGAGTCAGGACCATGCAACACAGCTCATGCATTGTTTTCCCGCCATTCCTACCAATGACCTTAACACGTTGAATCCGGACCGATATCAGGTTCTAAAGCAGTAGAACTCCTGGAAAGACTCATGCATCGTTTTCCCGCCATTCGACCAACGGTACTTGACTTAAACTGGGGGACGGGACGCAACGCAGTCGACTTGTCCGCCTCCGAGTGTCGTCGCGGGAGGCCTGGTTCGAATTGGCAAGAGATATCATACAATTCTTTTTCAGTGTGAATCTTCTCATTAGCGAGGTAGTCACGGACCTCAGATACCTGAAACAATATGAAATTCATATATTGATCACTTCATCTTCATCTTTCCCGTGTATAATAACCAATTTTATTTTAATAACCAGCTCCAAGAGCCAGCTCCCAGTTGGCTTGCTAGCTCAATAGGCCACTTCCGAGTTCCAAACACCCTCACTTTCAAAATGAAGCTAGGTGCACAACCTTTCTTGTGAAAATGAGTTTTACTTGCATGAGAACGAAAAATGATTTCCATATCAAAGGCTGAGCACCTTTCCCTCGGTTTGAAACAGAGGCCCGGGAGAACTTGGAAATGGCCTATTGTTAAGAGCGCCGCACCGGTACTTAAATCCCGGCAAGCCTGAATGTTTTTTTCAGGCTTCCTTTTCGTAACTACGATGATTTTCTCTGAAACTACTACAATTTTGTACGTTGTATAACACATGAATAAGCAAGTGGTATGGTTGTTAAGTTGGTCAATAAATTCCCTCACAGCCTTCCCAATGTCCTTTCCCTCGGGATAGAGTGTCAATAAACGGCTAAAAGCACCAGTTGCCAAGGTCCAATCCTTTCAATTTGGTATTTTATTTGCATTAACTAACACATGGATAGAAACATGATTTAGAATTTAGACCCGCATGATTTTCACTACCTATGTCTTAATAGACCTTTTTACCGATACGGCGGCCATATTGAATAAATTAGATTTAAGGAATATTATGGGATGCCCAGGGGGGCATGAGCACGTCCCGTTTTGTATTTACGAGCGCCTTTCGGGGCATTTTTTCTTAGAATTTGATCGTAATGGGAAAAAGACGGTTGTGCCGTGTAACGATGTAAAAATGATCCTGAGAAATATACATTGAAAGACCATATTTCCAATACTAAGCGAATACAACGGATCGTGCTAATGCCCCTGGGCATCCCATAATACTCCTTAAATCGAATTAATTCAATATGGCCGCCGTATCGGTAAAAAGGTCTATTGTAAGTTATTTTTTTTAGTTTTAAGTCACGACTCTGATTCCAGTTATTACCCAATTACCTATAAACGGTTTGATCAATGAACTGATGAATTCTTCTTATTACTTTATCAATATACAATTCATAAAATGTATTTCAGCTTGTTTTGATGTTATCAAAGTAACGTAATTGCCCTGTGTTGTAATTTTGATTCCTAAGCATAGCTTTTGCAATACTGTATGTGTTTGTATGGCATGCAAATAAAGCTCGTTGTTGTTGTTGGTGATGACGAAGATGATGATGGCGATGTATAAAAGGGAAGGGTAACAGCATAGGCAGAGATTATTCTGATTATTTACTGATAGCACTAGTCATAGACATAAGTGTAAATGGCAAAAACAGTGCTTACGTAGACTGAAATTGGTTTACGTTCATGGATTCTATTCAGTGTATTGCCGGCTCACCTCTTGAAAATTATAGACATCCTTTTGAAAACGTCTTATTTCGTCAATTACAAGGTAAATCTGAAAAAAATGGTCATGTAAAAAAAAGAAGAGAGATTTACTATAAGGTAAGAGACAATTACATGCAAGTAGTAACTGAGGTGTGAATATACACATAAACGGATAGACCGTCTGAATGACCAACTATCAGTCTGAATGATCAACTGTCTGACTGACTGACCGCTTAAGGCTGGTTTTCACTAGCGACGGAGTCTGAGTCGGAGTCGGAGTCGTAAGCGGAGTCGTAAGCGGAGTCGTAAGAGCGCTTATGACCAAGTGAAAATCAAAAATCGGAGTCGTAAGCGGAGTCATACGCACGACGTAATCGGAGTCAGAAGAATCAGAACGTTTCCATTTTCTTCCGACTCCGCTTCCGACTCCGTCGCTTACGTTTCGCTTATGATCTAGTGAAAACCAGATTGTCGGAGTCGGAAGCAGAAGCGGAAGGATAAGCCAATCAGAATGCACGTTCCCACGCTTTGTGATTGGCTTGGTTCTTCTGCTTCTGCTCCCGACTCCGACAACCTGGTTTTCACTAGATCATAAGCGGAACGTAAGCGACGGAGTCGTAAGCGGAATTGGAACGCTGTTTTCACTAGATCATAAGCTCTACGCTTCTGATTACGGCTCCGACTCCGACTCCGACTCCGACGCTAGTGAAAACCAGCCTTTAGCAGACAGACCGTATGAATGAACATCTGTCTGAATGGCTGAGTGAAATTCAGGAAACCGGCCGTGTTAACACTGTAGCGTGAGTTCTCAAGCTACTTCGGAGGAGGGAAATGCTACAGTTACGCCACAAGAGTTAGCGTTATCTTGCGAGAAAGCTCTCCCCAACCCTCAATCCTTTGGCCGAAAGCTTGCTCGGTGGCCAAGTAGGAGTTGGCCTGATAACCAACGTGAAAGATTTTAACGTAACTTGCCTGTCTTCGCTTGGTCAGATTGATCAGTCCCCCTTTAAAAAAGTCGGGGTTTCCCTCCGCAATGAAGGTGAGATCTTTCATGTAAATACCTTGAGGAAAAAAAGGAACTGGGTAAGTGAGTCATCATATTCCAGAGGCATAACCTGGGATTCAAGTGGTCAAGCAAGAACTTACCAAAGTAGGGAACTGACGGAGTTGGAGAGGAGGCAAGAGCTTGGCGATATCTCTTGTAGTTATCCTAAAAAAAAGGTTCGAAAGAGAACCAAACAATTTGTATTCTCATTACTGACGCAATGATAAATGTATGAGGGCAGGGAAAGAAAATTTGCCATTAGAATTGAAGCGTTAAGTGGAAGATCGGGATCACGGTAAGGACGCTTGTCGAATGATAGTACCAAGTAAGTACAGTGCAGCTCCGTTTGAATTATTGTCAAAAACTGAAAACACGCAACAAAAATAAATGTTTGTGACACAGAAATGGCCGGAAAGCCGGAGGGTTATATGCAAAAAGAACAGTCTCAGAGGAACGTTTGCAAAGCATCGCTTGCCGTGTTTTATAAGTTTTATAAATTAAAGACTGGACTTCGTGTTTTAAACTTCTGTTCTTCTATTGAACAGAAAAAAAAAACATCACTTTAAAGCTTACGAGGACAAATGAAAGAAAGTTAAACACCGCTAAGAAATCCAAAAAGGAAAATGAATAGGTCATAAAAGAAGAAAAGGAAGAGGAACAAGCAAAACACAAGAATAAATATAAGATTTCAAATCGGACATCGCTAGTGACCCTTGTTACATTAAGAGATGAAGCTATAAAGAAATAAAAAACTGCAAACCCCATCCACCTACCTTAGTATCCATAAGAATTTCCATTTTGGCGTACTGCTCAAGATATTCTTTAGGCACGAGCTGTGAATTAATGATAATTAGCCACATTACTAAGTCGCTGTGCCTACGTCAAACAAGACCATTAATTCACCTTAATGATTAAAGGGAATTAGTAATCGTCCGGATCGTTTCAATCGCCCAAGTCGCCTCAAAAAGTGTCCAGATCTTCGTGACGACAGTGAAGGACCACTGACTGATGCAATGTAAGATCCGGACGATTGGGGCATTACCATGTCCATCAGAATGTCCAACACATTCCAAGAGAGTGTACAGAAGTGTACAGTGTTTTCTTACCTCTTTTGTTTTGTGCAGTCGTCTGACGGGCGCACTGCCGAGAGCCGCCACAACAATGGCCATCACGGCATTGAAATTCCTCAGCTCTAAACAAAGCTGAAACCAAGGCAAACAATAGACTCAAAATGTAATCACCTTGACCTTGCCGTGTCTAAAATCTTACACTTATCTTTTTGAGGGCCGAAAAAGGTTGCTACTCATTAGAGTAAAAAACATTCTACGACTTCTCTGTAATCATAAATCGTCTTCAGGCGATCAAGAATATTAAAAGGAAATGCAGGTTCTATTGATCTGTCTAACATTTCACATTCTCTTCAGCTTCTTTAGTGGTTAACGATTATTGTTCCGTTTATTTAGTTCTATGACAACAGTTGTCGTGGTTAAATACCTTGGCTGTTTCTATGAAATTGATGAACATATTGGCTCGTTTTTCCATTGATTTCTCCGTGACAATTGTGGCTGCTACCCAAGTGCTTAGCTAAAAGTAGAACACCAATGGAAACAAAAATAAGACGAGGATAATGCCCGGGACTGGCTAATGTTACTAGCAGAGGTTCCTATTGGTAAAACATTACGTACTGCGACAAATAAATTGATCTGTTAAAAAAAGAACAAACTCTTCACAAAGAAAGGCAACATCTCGTAAAAATCGGGGGATATTAAGTTCCAATTGCCACTGTCAAGTTGGCATTTCGCTAATTTCTCCTTGCAGAACCCCAGCCCAAAATCCTCCTCCTCCTCCAACATGTTTATCTAACATTAATCAGGAACAAACACGGGCTTTTGAACTACACAGTGAATGGGACTTCAGGCGAGTTATCCATTATTCAATTCAATCCTTTCAGATTAAAATAAAAAAAGGAACACTTTGTATTGTTTGATTACTTTTTGGACGAGGAAATCTTACAGAATTCTTCAAGAGGGCGTTTTAGGGCTTTGTCTTTTTTTTATAACAAAAACTTGAGGGCATAAGTAGAAAAAAACAAAAAAAACAAAGAGTTTGTGTTACCTGATTAAATCTGTCCGCTACTTTCTCCACAGACAGTCTCTCCTCAGGAGCTACTTTTCTTTTCTTACCCGTTCCCATGGCAATTTTCTTTTGAACATCGACTGCGGTTACCGCACAAAAGCACTCTAAAAATGGAAGATGGAAACCTGGTTAATTCGGACACCAAGGAAACATGCGATAGTGTCCGTACTAAGAGGGCTCTCAGCGAAAACGTCACCGACGCAGATTTTATCGATATAAAGACTAAAGCAAAAATGGTTTAGGTTGTCCACCGGTAAGATATTCAGTCATAGACAGTGCGCAGATAAACTGTCCATAACGCGGGATTAACGATATATGGGAGTTTGCGACTCGCTGAGACAACAAAACTGTCCGTTACATACTGATGTCCGTAGAGCGGGTTCCAATGTAAAAACAAACAAAAAATATCAATTAACCAAATCTTCTCTGGACAAAGGTGTGACACTCAAGTGTGGCCACTTTCGAAGACCGGCTGCAAGAAACAACAGGGGAGCAAGTTGAAACAGCTTCCTAATTTATGATTAGAGCCTTCAGCGAATAATTTGAAAGAAGGAATTCTACACAATCTTCTGATACCTACCATGGTCAATAAGAGTGATCTGTCGTGCTAGTTCTTTAGGATACTGCAGCAAGTCATAAGGTCTATGGCAACCAAAAGAAGGATAAAGTATTAGGTCATAACAGCGCCTTCAATCTTCGGCAATCATTTTTAAACTCATCACGAATTTTGTGATAAGCCAACTAAGAAAAACTGTTTCCCGTCAAAATGGGATTGGCATTTGAAGCATCTAGGGTGCCGCATTGACCGAAAGCGCAACGAAAACTGTCCGTTTTCCAAACTGAGCTCATTACAATAAACTTAGCAGCGCTGATTATCGCAAAGCTGACATTTCGATTGCTCAACCTAACTATGCGCGCCTATTCGTGTCCGTGCATTTTCTACCTTTTTCAGCCGCAAGTTTTTCACGAAAACAGCATGGCCCTTTGTTGCTTCTTCGAGCTATATTGCATCATTCAATTAAAAAAAAAACAGACTTCAAGCATCGTTTCCTCACTACCAACACCCTGTTGTCTTTTCAATGACATCTCATAACCAAACAAAGAACTCACGAGAAGTCTCGGCGATCAAATCCAGGCAGTTCTGCATCTGGTGGACACTGACAGATCAGTAGTTGCCCGTTAGTGCTTTGCCCAAACGAACGGTTCAAGCCCTCGAAATCATCATCATCTCTAAGCGATAAGCTAAACGGACCCCGTTGGGGTGGTGTGGGAGTAAGTTGTCCTGAACTACAGGGCGAATCACTTCCCAGGGAGGAGGGGTTGCTTTCAGAGGTGTACTTTGGGCGGCGGCAAGAGGATATGCCATGCAGGTGTTCTTGCCCTGCCGTGAGCGAACCAGCAGGATGAAGGAGATGCCGCTCAGCTGGGGAGCCTGACTCTACACTTGCCGCGCTTCCTTCTAAAATCAGATATCAGATCAACATTTAGGTTCAAACACACTGACCTACGACAGTCACTAACGTACCCAACATTGAGTGCCCACCAATGAACCTGAGTCGCTTTAAAGTCACATACAATAAACGGATCCAATCAGGATGTATTTTAGGCGCTATGGTTCATGTGATGTTGGCTTATATGTTGGCCTAATATAGTATTGTCTGGATAAAGTAAAGCCTAAAGGACAAAAGACAGTTATAAAGGCAATCAAAGAGGATGCTTCATCACGGGCGGGAAGATACACCTTTTGATTTCAAGTAGCTTAGACAGAATTTTCAGCATGCGGAAATAAGATTCACATCCCAACACAGCCGTGTAATTCTATTTTCCTTATATAGACCACAAAAAACGAAAATTATTCAAATTTGATTATTCATTCGCCAAATTCACGCGAACAGAGGACTGTAAAATGTAACTTTCCAAAAGAATAAAAAGACGAACAAGCAGAAACAGTTCATTGGCTTTCGACTCAGACCGATGCGTCTGCACGTGGCAACAACTGTCCCCGATTAGTAGGCCTCCTTCGGCATGATAGAAGATTTGGACAATTAAGTTTGTCTATATGCGTGTAAACTCTCATTACGTATGCTACCCTAGTCTTAACATCTTCTTACTTGAAGTTCTCCTTTCTTCAGCAATTCCAAATGAGCCTGGTTCCCATGAACCCTTTGATGGTAAGGTGCTTTGTAAGGAACCCAAAAGAATGTCTGAGGATGCCTGAGATCCTACAGATAATTCACCTACGCCAGACGTGCCAGAGGCAAGAGTTGATGCTGCTGATGCTAAAATGAGATAAACGTCTATTAGATATGAGTATAAAAAACGTAATGAATCCTGCTGCTATCTGTTTCTCTGTGCTAATTATGACTACCACCAAACAACTAATGAAGGAGAGGTACGAAAGAAAAACAATTTGTTGTAATTGTCGTCTGAATGAGACGTTACCCTAAAAGAAATAATCGTGGAATTTCTTAATGACTTTTCTCAGTTGTGACCAGGGAAGATCCAAGACTAAGGTAATATGAACGGTAACTCGATAACTCTACTCGTAACAGTTCACATTAGGCTAACAAACTTAGGGCCGAGGGTGCGCTCATTTTATGGGTAACTAAAGCGACTTAAAGCTTCACGGAAAGAAAAGAAGTCGAAACAAGGAGTTGAGCTCACAACTGAGAACTGCACTCGGAATCTGCTGAACAGAAAGGCAAGGACTATCCGACTGTCCAAAAATTGTAGAAAAGCAAAAACTCTCTATCTAAAAAGAAATACTGCTTCCTGTTTTGTACACATGCGCAACGGTAAGTCAGAAAGGGTCAAAGGAGGGTACTAAAGCACAGCCCTGATGCTTACAAGCCACCCCCCATCCCCAGTTATAGGCTTATCTACCTGTAAACGACAACAACAACAAACATCATCATCAACGAATATAAGCCCCCTCTCGCTTGTATTGAAATGAATTCGATTTTTGACGATGTTTTCAAACTTAAAAGCAAGAAAATTCAAAAACGCATTTTGATTAGCGTTGCTATGTAGCTTGTCATGAAACGTTTTTTTAGCCCAGCTATAAGCCTCCCCGGATATGAGCCCCCTACCCTGGGGGCCCGGGGGCTTCTACACGGATTCATCGTGACGTCATTGTTTACATTATTGCTCATTAGTATACAAGTTAACCTATAGAAGCATAGAAGATCCAGCCGTATATACCAATTAGGTTCAAAAATTAAAAGAGCTGGTGAGTTTATGCAGTTAGTTTCAACTCTTTGCAATCAGTAACAAAGAAAACAGCAGCAATTAAAAACTGCAAATGACTGGGTGGCAAAGCCTTAATAAGCTCATACATTCTTTGTAATTTTCTCCGAAACTATTTGGTATATCGGGCTCAAATTCTTAAAGATAACTGAAATTGTTATGCTCTTTTAATATTCAGAAATTTCATTTTATTAGCTTCATCAGATAACGATCAGCCTATGATAATGAGGCAAAAAAGTAAACAAGGATTCGCTTATAAGCGGAAGTTTACGGTATCGAAAACACACCTGCAGTTTGCCCTTGCGTTCCAGTCTGCTGAGCTAAGACATTGCCTCGCTCTGTCTTCTGTTGTAGAGCCCCTTGTTGATAAGGCACTGATGAAGACAGCTTGAAGGACGATTTTCTCTTTCCTTTTCCCAAATGTTGATCAGGCAGTGAGGAGCCTAGCGAGATAGCTCTCAGTCTAGATACTACCCCGGTATCACTGTCGTATTTGTCAGAATACAACGCAGGTTTGGAAGCTACAGCTTCCAGGGCCTGGGCTCCCCACACTTCATTTTCTTCCGCGTATTTGCTCCATGGTGAGAAATCCTGTCCAGCTAAAATCTGGGTGAAAGGACAAGGATAGTTTCAAAAGTGGTAGTCTTTATACTAGAGCCTAAATAAGGTAAGAAATATTTCAAGACAAGTAAATTTTAAATTCTTCAAGTAAAAGGAAGCTTCACACACAACCTATCTTTTTTACTTCGGGTTAACTTAAGGTTATTATCCCACGCAACATAATTAACATTGATTGACATGCTTCGCCTTTCTCAAAGCTCAAGAAACCGCAAGTTCGCAAAGTTGGTTTTAAGGATGGTTTTCAAGTCACTTGAAACTTTTCTTGAATCTTTTCAACTTTCCGACTTTAATGAGATGCAGAGTAAAATAACTTGAGATTTTACTTTGGCCTTCACAAACTTATCTTTGGTTTAGTCACAGGGTCCAGAGGAATTTCGTGTGAATAAATGAATTACCTATTTTTAAAAAGTCTCACCTTGAAAAATGTCTATACCTGTCGCTTGGCACGATTAATTAGCCCAATGGGATCTTAATGAATCTACTGTAAACGATTTCTGAAGAATTTCTTGAGAATTCTAGATCAGGTTAGTAAAATCAGGCGACTTCATTCAATTCCATTTGAGTTTGAGGCATTCGAAAATCGGCCCCAAATTTGCTTCCTCCCTTTCCATATTTTATACAGTAAGCCGATCTTGCGATTCCTCAGTCTCTTGGTTTGCAGTCTATAGAATGTGTAACGAAACTGTAACGCGATCAAAACAACCCATTTTTTCAGAGGTTTTCGACAGGTTTTGATGATGTTCTAATGACAAACACATCTCCTCTGGACCCTGTGGTTTAGTAAAACTTAGTAGCTCCTCTTAAGTCTTACTTAACGGCCAAGTGTAAAGACTACCATTTTCATTAATTTACCAAGTAGTGATTCAAAAACTATCTGTCGCCAGTAACAGGTCGATGGTAATGTATTAAATGATTCTAGGCACAAACAGAGGACTGGTTTCAAAAGTATCATCGCAACTGGTTACAAGGTTCGCTTGAGAACCCAACATCTCCTTTCTCGAAATTCAAAATTGTGAGCTTTAATCGGTACTATTTTGATTCTGTATGTCAGAGGTTATTTCTCCGCGTGAGATGAGATAAAGAAAACTCACCTGCCATTCAATTTTGGTGCACATTAGAAGGACGTCATTGATCTCCTTAAACAAACTGCAATGAAAGTTTCAGATATAAGCCTCCTGGCCCCAGTTGTTCAAAAGGTGGATAGCGCTATCCAGTGGATAAATCTCTCTCCACTGGAAAGTGCAATTGGTTTTCCTAATACTTATCCACTGGACAGTGATTTCTCCGGTGGATAGCGCTATCCATCTTTTGAACCGGGGCGTGATATATGAGCAGAGCGGGCAGGACTCGCAATCCGGAGGTCCCGGGTTCGAGTTCACGCGCTCTGACCACAACCTGGATTCGTTCTCGGTCGTCCCGATTTCAAATCCTCGGCCATGCTTGTAAATAGCCTACTGGTTGCCTATTAAAATAAACTTCCGTTATTTACCCCCCGGGGCCTGGTTCCTGCGAGGCTGATTAGCACTAATCCAGAATTAAAATTTTGATCAGCTTTTGTATTTTACCTTCCTATGTATTGCTTAAAGTAACATTTCGTGTTACCATTAGTGTAAAGGCTCAACAGCATTTTACAAGCTCGAATTGCATGTTCTTAGGCATGAAAACCTTGCTTAAAATTTGGCTTAATCCTGGGCTAAACTTGACAATCTTTCGAGGAACCGAGCCCAGCAGTATATATAGCACTTTTGCTAGTGGGGCCGAGCAATAAATATAACAGGGTTAAGAATCCCAACTGGCTTTAGGCAAACCCGCTAGCTATTTACATGCATGGTCGAGAATTTGAACTTGGGACTACAGAACTTGAACCGGCGCCTCCACATTGCAAGTACCGACACGGGCCGCGCTGCCCCCCACAATTTCCCACCATTCAAGACACTACCAGGGCTGTCATTAAGACGCACGAGTAGGGGATGTCCCCCGGCTACTATGAACGTGGTGCCCGGCAACTTTCAAATGGAAATAGAAGAAAAATAGAACCAAAAGAAATCCCTAGCTCTGATTTCCCGCCTACTTGGTGTATTTACCCAGCAACTTGAAATCTTAGTGACAACCCTGCACTATGCTTTATGGGTTTACGTTCGTTTAACAATGGTATTTATGTTTCAGGTATACAGAATTCTACGACCAAAATCAAAAATGGATTTTCAAATCTAGAGAAGCCACATTCCACATATTAAAGACTTAAAACTTTTACGTTATGTAATGGATTTTCACGTGACTGACTCACCCTTTGTTTTCGAGCATGAATTCGAAAGTCGCATTGTTAAATTCCGCCCGGAGTCTGGTTTCATCCGCCGATAGCCTCCATCTCTTTAACTCCTTCAGCTGCCAAGTACCAATAACCGCCTAACAACATTTCCAATAATGATGTTAATACTCAGTCAATATCTGCACTACTCCTCATCCACACTGATAACTAGATTTCACCAACACGTGAGAGGGTGTTTAATAACATTAACAAGACTACAGATCCCACTTTTGAATCACTTTTCATGCTGTAAATTAGCGTCCAACGCGCTCGTTACAAATTTTGCGCTCAGTTTATTGAGTTTCACAATCTACCTGGTTCTAATTAACATATCATTAAGCATCACCACAAAGAAAAAACTGAGCTCCTTCATTGAAACAAAACTAAAGCAACAGACCCGGTTAAATAAAGCCACTGACCTTCCGACCAAACCACTACGTCATCTCTATAAACATATAACTCTTCATTTGACTTTTTGCATGGTTTCACAGAACCTTTTCATGTGACTCTTACCACTATTTAACACCGACTCTTACTTTTGTTTTATCGTCCAAGACGGTAAGCTTCTTTGGACTAACGGCAAAATAACACCTCGTCGCACCACCCTTAGGGTCAATGGCGCCTGAGCACTCCTGGAACATGACAATAATTTCAAACATTGAAAAGGTTTGGACATTGGATCCTAAGTAACACAAAAACTTTTCATCTAACACTCAGAGAACTCGACATGGGTTGCTTGTTTTCTTTTTAACTTAAACAATTCTCTGTTTTTTGGACAATAAAAAGAAACACTACTTCTCGTGTTTCACAAATTGCGTCAACAGATATAACACTAACAACTGCTAATTTCAGACATGATAGACTCTTTCCCAGTTACCCAAGCCTCTGCTTTAACCCTTTATACCCCAAGATCAAAATTTGAATTCTCATTTGTTGCCCCTTCTCATTTCCCACAAAAGTTGTGGGAAGAAGCTGATAAAATATCAAGCATATTCATCTTGTGTGATCATGTCCGTGATTCTCACGACCACTTTGTTTTACAAAGCATTGATGTTACAATTTTTAGGGAGTTATCATAACTCCAAAAATGGAGTAAAAATTTTAGGTACAGGATAACCCCTTTTTGGGGGGTTATTTTAACTCCTAATTCAACTCCGCATTTGGGGTCATTTTTACTCCTGAAAAAGAGTTCTTTTTACTCCCAGTCTGGAGTTAAAATAACTCCGAAATGGCGTTACTTTTACTCCTTACATGGGTTGATTTGACTCTTTTTGGAGTTAATTTAACTCTGAAAGTGGAGTAAAAATTTTAGGTACAGGATAACTCCTTTTTTGGGGCTATTTTAACTCTTCAATATCTGGGGTCACTTTTACTTCTGAAAAAGAGTTCTTTAAACTCCTTTTTGGAGTTAAAATAACTCCCCAAAAAATAACTCCACTGTAAGGAGCTAAATTAGCCTCGCTAGAGGAGTTATTGAAACTCCTAGAAAATAACTGTGTAGCACATTTTCTTTTTTAATACCTTGAGCTTGTAGAACTGACACCCATAGCCAGCCATCGCCTGACAGTAGTCAATAAAGTTGTGCTTGGCGTTCCGCTCTGTCATACCACTGTTGGCAAACTGTTCGTACTGGACCTTGATCCTACGCGACGCATATCACAAAGATTACAAATCACCAACAAAATCACGTAATGCTTTAGAAAGGGAATACGTTGTGCTTTGGGCATCCCTTGTTAAACCAGCGTATGTTATGCTCACACTTCATATAGCATACTGAGATAGGATTTGTTTAATAGACCTTATTCAAGGTACCCGCCATCTTTACACGCACTTAAGGACTGATGAGAGAAAAACAAAGTCACGTGGCTTGTAAGGGGGGCAAACAAGTGAAAAAAAGAAATCGCGGTCGAGTTTGTTTATTCTAGACAACATAAAGTGAAGAACTTTTCATCTTAAAGACAACAATGGCAAATTATGGGTGGAAGTGATCATTGTCACGTTTCTAGATGTAGCAGCGACCGTAGATGTCCTCACAGCAAATAATAATGACGTAGTCTTGTCAAAACTCGAACAATTTGCATGACTATTAAATCGTCGTCTTCTTGTTTTGTCTGAATAAGCAAACTCGACCGCGATTACACGTACTGATACATTTGATCTCTTGTTCGCCCCCTGAAATACCACGAGACATTGCTTTTATTCCGTCGCTCCTAAAGCGCGTGCAAAGATGGCGGGTATCATGATTAAGGTCTATTAACGGGCCCTACAAATCTCATCCGCCGTTCTCAACTGGGATTCCCTAAAACATTCACTTCAAGTACATTGATAGTCAACAAACCAGGAAAACTAGCTCCATGACAACCAATAGACTCACCTTTTTGCGATGTTCTTTACTTTGTACATTGACGAATGCAAGCTCGTCTTTATCCTAGATACAGACAATCTAACAACGAATAGGAATTGCGAACTCAATGAGCATGTTGCCAACTTATACCACAAATTCTCATTAAAAAATTATCTTACTTCTCTCTACTGGACGATGAAAATAACCGTGGCTTTCCTCTGACTTCTGCTGGTAATAAATCCTACAAAGTTTTAACAATAAAAGACGAGAAATTAATTTGAAGTAATAAGCCCACGAGAAGTGGGTTAAAAGAAAGACGTCTTTTGCGCACTGATATCGGGCTCACTGGTCATCGGATGAAATACTATCGATTGTTTGATATGGCTTTTAAAATGATTAATAATTTTAAAGCAATTCAACAACAACAACAACAACACTTTATTTATTTACCCAATAGATAAATGGCCCGTTACTAACCTCTATGTAAAGTTGAAGGCCACTGAGGTAAACAGCATCCTCGATAGTACAGGGAAGACTTCCATTGACAATTGCTTTCTGACACTAAACAGTAAAGGAGTGATCAGTGAGCAACTATTGAATGGGGCTGAGTCGGATGTGAAGAATTATGCAGATCGAGGAGGATCTTATCTATCGAGGCTGAGGGCCGAGGTGGATAAAATCCCACGAGATCTGCATAGTTCTTCACATCATACGAAAGTCAAATTTAATAATTGTTTTATGATTCATTCAAAATATTTCTACTTTCTTAACAAGCTTACCTCCTCGTAGACTTTCTCTAAAACTTTGGCCTATTTATCGGCACAGACATTTTCCCTTGCAGATACTTGTCAAGATCCAACGAGCGATATATTAACGTACATTCTTGCATTTCTTCCGTTCCGCAGTTTCTGTTAGAAATTCCGGTGTTTTGTCTTCGGATAGCCGAGAACGCCATTTTCCTTTTTAACTCACTCGTGAACAAACAGCTAGCCAGCCGCGCTTGGAAACGAGGCTGATCGATAGTCTATTGCCCAAGTAGGCTCGTTTCCAATGAAATATTTTATCGATGAACCTTGTTTTTAATCAAATATACCATCGAATTGTTGGTATACTAGTCACACCTTCCACATTTGGTCAGCGCTGGCTGGATACGAAGAATTAGCCGTCGCGCTTTAAGCCAATCAGAAACGGCGAAATATTTTGAACGAACAATAATAGAGATCAGTTGATAACACATATTCTGATAGCATAACAAAGGTAGAGTACGCCCTCTGAGAGCATCCTGTAAGTCCCAGGTCAGGAGAGACCAACTTCAGTTTTCTACCAACAATATCCGGTGATTTTGTTACCTATGCGTCCTGCGCCCCTGACGAAAAAAAATCCTCAGACGCAAAATAATTCATGAAATGCGTCCCGTATGATGCAAAGAACGATCGATCGATCTGAACACGTGTATTTCTAGCATTATACTACTACATGATAAATTTCTGCAATTTGATTGGCTTAGAGCAGTGGTATTTCAGCTTAATTTGAAATACCTACATGTGAAAATTACAAAACCTTTGCGGGTAGTAGTATAAACAAATAATAGCATGATTTGTACGTAATATTTGGCATAAATACCACTCGTAATATTTCAAAACTGTCTCAAATTTCACTCGCCTAACGGCTCGTGAAATTACGTACAACAATTTCGAAATATCACTCGTGGTATTTAAGCCAAATATCACTACAAATCATGCTATTACCCATACATATTCCGTTCGTGTAATTTCTGTGGCAGCAGTTATCATGGCTGTTGTTTAAAGATGCACGTTTCTTCTAGCCTCTGTTGTAAAATAGAAGGACTTTATTTTAATTTCAGTACACTGTAATACAGAGTTTTGGAGTCTGTCTTCAGATTAACTATCTGGTTACATAAAGACCCAAGCATTTTCAAATTCGGACTGGGACTCATCCGTTCTGGACTGGGTTTTGGTAACAAAATCACTGAATATCAATACATAATCACGAGAAAACGTTGTGACAATAGAGAGCTTTAGATTTGAGGACAAGAACGAACACGAGTAGGAGATTTAACTAGAAAGTTTTTGCGTGTGTTCTTAAATAAAAGAGACCCCGGAAAGCTTCATTTTACTTTTTTTACCAAAAACGTTAGCACGGTCATTTACGGTTAAGCCCTTTCCCGATTGCAAAATGATAAAACTTCTTACATTTGATAACTTGTTTCCGCTACTACGACATTCTCGCTAAATCCCGTTGTAGAATGACGATGGCTCCTCACGTTTTCCGTCAAAATGACGCTGGCTCATGCGCGCGCACTACTTAGCATTGAGAAAATCTCGTACTCCTCGTCGTATTCGTCTCCGAATCTAAAGCTGTCTAATGTTGAGATCTTGAATCAAATCCTCTTAACTTATTCTTTAAGGAAATCTCGACAATTTGAATGTTGATATTGTGGCTTGAAGGGTTAACATGCACTTACAGTATGAACAAAAACAACAACACCAAGAACCCATTTCACTGTAAAACCAAGGCTCGATACGACACGATCCTCAATGCCTTCTTTGTGTTGTATATTCTGAACACATTACTGTCGGATTGGTGATTATTATGTACTCACTTGTTCATAGAGAATAGCATGGTGACAGTGATTTGCCAGGAATCTATCTAAATGGCCTTTCTTGGAAGCTCGTTCCTGTGAATAACAACTTTGACTAAGTAAAGAGAACGAGGGCGGACCTATAACTTGGCGGGAACAAATTGACCAAATATTTAGAGAAGGGTAGTCTCCTTCGCAGCCGCTCGGGCCGGAGTCTCGCAATAAAAGAGTGGGGCATTTGTTAGATTTCTACAATTTTTTTATCAAACTGTATCAAGTTCAGTTTTTGAAAACTGCTGCGTCCGAAATCTGAACCTCAATTTTTGTTTTCCTTATCCTGTAATTACCTCGAGTTTGCTGCTGAACACGAAGATCAAAGTGGTATTGATTGTTTAATTACCTCAAGGCTTTGAATAAGATCCTCTAACATTTCAGCACATGGAAGGTACGGTCCACCAGCTTGCCTCAAGGGAAGAATAACCTCACTCAACTCAGACTAAAAAAGGAAAAAAACAGATCTAATATGAGTGGACAGTCAAAACACCACTAGGTGCGCGTGCCGTCGCACTAGCCGTTTTGCTCATAAGCAAATAGAGAGTTTTAGATCCGAGTTTACCGCTAACCTCTAGCCGCTGGAGGTCACATGACAAGTCTTTCGCGTCACGATTGAGGTTTACGACGTGCGTTTTCAACGTGGGGAGGTAGGTTTTCACATATGTCATTTACCTGAAAGCTTCTAGCGTATAATTCTTGTTTTATCCCACGTAATAATACAAAAATGTTGTGGAGCAAGTCTTTATCCATTACCAGAGGCGCACATTCGGGCGGAATGGCTAAATTTGTTTAATTCTATTGGATCTTGAAAACAAGTTCCATTCATGGCTGCGGATTCAAAATGGCGGCCGCAAATTTGTAAGAAGAACTAACGTAAGAATTTACAGCTCTTTGCTGCTAGATAACCCAGTGTTACCGTAAATTTCTTTTATTTTCACTGATTGATATTTCTTCTATTTCTAAATAAAAAAATAAACCTAGAATGGCTTTAATCCACCACCAATCTATTAATCGAATAATGTTTGAACGTCGAACCGCAAACGGCTAACCGCAAACCGCGGTTAGAGGTTCGCGGTAAACTCGGATCTAAAACTCTCTTATGACTTTTGCTTTCGGGGAAGTGATTTTTTGTGAGTGACTGATTTTCCCAACTTAAAATTGTCTCGGGGAACATTTTATCGCATGTCTCCTGCAATAACAGGATTATCAATAAAATCTTCGAGGTAGTTATCAAGACCTGAGGCAGTTGCATATAACATGCGTACCGCAATAACAGGATTATTAACAAAGTCCTCAGGGAAGTTATCAAGCCAAGCCGTCCACAGCCTCATCAGGTGGATGTGAAGTACGGGTAATGGGCTGTAGTCTTGCATCTGTCCAGTGGATGGATCACCATCAAAGTATTTTCCAAACCACGGATCATGAAATCTGCAAGGGATAATTATAAAGAGTTTGAAAACAGAGATATTTGCACAAAAGAGGCGGTATTACAGTCCTTTGAATTTGAAAATTGCAGTTCTAAGGAAAGGGAAAGGAGCTGCCTATGTACGGTAGCAGTATTTCAAGAAAAGTACTTGCTTTTTTATAAAGTGAGCGCTCCTAACTCCAATGAAGCAGTCCAAGCTTAAGTCATCTCATCACAAAATCACGGCCACATTACAATCAAAGATGATTCAAGTTCATCCGAAATGTAATCAGTCAAAACATTCGTCAGTTTTTTCTATCCGTGTATAAATTTAGATTGCTGCCTTTATTTGGTTTTTCCCTTTTAGTCTTCTACGGTCGAAAATATTTAAACGGTGAATGGTCGATTACGGAACAAGGACGATTGTCAGATGGAATTCCAATTGGGCATTGCTTTCCGGACCTTGGCAATCAATTTAAGCAGTGAATTTTCTGCAACCAGTCACTAGGCCTGGGAATGCAACCGCGCGAAACGTCCCTAGCGTTGAGGTGCGAGGAAGGATGGCTGAATTCGCAGGTTACCAGTCTCTTTGTTCCGGAGCATTTTCTTTCGCTGAATCTCACGTAAGACGGACTAAAGCGCATGGCGAGCATAAACAAAACAAGTCAAATCCTTGAAAAAACAGGAAACGGTTAACAACAAATCCCACTTAATCATTACTTGCTGAATGATGCATCCGGGCTCTTGAATCTACTTACAGACAATCACTGCAAGATAAACCCGCGTGGTAGATGTTTGAATGGGATGGGAAATGGGGAATATGCGCGCGAGAATCCCTTCTTCCTTGCGAGCCCAACGCCTTCTCACATGTCTTAAATTTCTCCCCATCAAACAGGCCGGTGCAAAATTTTCCTACCTGTGCAGCAACAATCTCATCAAAATAGTTGCATGTACAAAACTTCTGTAAGTTGTCAGCAGAAAGTCCACGATCTGATCTTCAGTGGCCATGCGCTTGTCATTTGGACTAGTGGTCTTGTACCATGAAAGTTTCTTGCTGCGCCCAGACCAGGGTGGCAGGCTCAAGCCTCCCCACAGTAAAGTCGGATTGTTTGTGATGATCTCCACTATTTTCTCGATGCTTGCGCCTCTGTAAATCAGCAAATAAACACGGCATGAAAACTTTTTGTAAGGAGACTGGATTTTCGAGGACAAATTCGAATTTCTTTGGTTTTTTTGTTTGTTTTTGTTTTTGTTTTTGTTTTTTTTTTCCTTAGGGTTTGGAATCTACAGAGTTTAACAGATCATTTAGGGACAAAAGACGAGCAAACAATCATTTTCCTCATTGTTCCTTCTGTTTTTTGACGTCACACTATCAGGCTTTCGAAGTTTGCTGCTCGAACAAAGACTGTTCTTATGGGCGCTTAATTCATTGAAAAATCTTTCAGAATCAAGGACTCTACCCTGGGTACCACAGGTTTTTCTCGCGTGCGGCGTGAATTTTCGGTATTTGCCGAAGGCCGACACATCTTCGGCCCTAGGCCGAAGCAAAGACTTGACAGAAACCGGAAATCGCGCTAGAAAAGTCTCTGGCACCCAGGGTACAAGGACTCCTGAGACATTAAAGAACATTTCTTGGACATTGTCTAATTTTTTTCACCAGGAAACATAATTTCACATCCAGGTACCTCGTAGTTGAATAACTATTGGTACAGTCTTATAATTATTTAAAATAATCTTATAATTATTAAACAAAATCCGTGGCCGGGCTGAAATACTTACTTCACAAACAGACGCTCCTCTCCAGTTGAATCTCCAAATAAAACATCAAGCTTTTCATCTCCTAAAAAGGCGATGAAAGTGCCGGTATAATTCAGCCGTTATTGAAATACAAGGATATCTCAGCCATCGTATGACAAGAACTGACACGCTTGGAGCTAAACAGAATCTCCAACTCATTTTTCCAAAGATAAAAAAATCTTCGTTTGTAAACTAAAAATCTGAGTTTTCCCTCTTAGTATTATTGTCAACTTATCTGCACAGGGATTTTTGGTGTCGTTATAATGAGACGAGGTCATAAAAACTGGTCATCTTAACTCCACATACGTACGGGCTATTGACAGTTCCCTACACCGAAGTGCCTGACGTACGTCCTATATAAGAGCCTCGGAAACAGTAAAATTTTCAACTCAATCTCTCATCGAAAATTATAGAAATCGTTGACAGTGGCTAGACAAAGGAGTAAAATGCAGACTAAGTAACCTTACCTGGGACACGTTTAAAGAGATAAACGCCACCAACGTCCATACAACCCAAATAAATAAGGCCACGGGCGGCATGGTATCGCACCCTGAAAACAAGGAAAGCATTAGCGAACAACACCAAATTACAGATCAGTCTGCGCCACGCACTCAAGACTTGATAGATGTCTGATATTTAATAATGACATTTACCTTGCATCAAGCAAAATAGTACACAGTCAGCTGTACCCTACTCAAACATTTGTGAATAGGCTCCCATGGGAGCGGGAAAAGGGTCACGGGAACTTCTCCCCCTTCCCTCCCAACCCTACCGTCCACTTGCGCTTTCTGGCTTTCTCTCAGTCCTAAACCCCGTAAGAGAACCTGTTCACAAGCTACGCAAACATAGGGCGTCTTAACGACCTGATCCGGCGATTGGGAAAAAAGAAAATAATACAGACAAATAGCGAGTACTACTCATGGAAGTTGTGATACCCCAGATTTGTCAAAAAACGCTGACAAAGCAAAACAAAAACGACAACTATACAGTACCTTGCATCTCCATAGCTTAACATCTGTTTGAGGCCATCCACACCCCCAACCAATTCAATCTATGGAGGAAAGGGCAAAGACAATCACAACGTCACCAGGCTAATTAAAGAAAACACTTCACTTGATTACATTTCCCAAGTGTCATCTCACAATGGTGACTTTCACGAACTTAGTTATAGTATCGAGCCAGTCTCGTGAGTTCTTATTCGATCTGCCCACCTGCCCACCTGCCCACCGAAGTCAAACGTCGCTCGAATTGTTCTTTTTAAGAGAAGTTTCATTTACCAAGAAGAAGAAAAAGTAGCCTGAATTTCATCCAATTACTTCGAGTCGTTATTACTTCCTCAGTAACGTCTGAATCGACCGGCCGTTGATGACGTCCAGTGACGTCACTACTCCTTGACCTTTGCTTTAATTCATGCAAAAAGTAAAACACGATTTTCAAGTGGCAAACAGAGAAATATTGTTTGGAAATGTCTGCATGATACAGAACTGCTTTATTTTTTTCGATCATAATTCATGTTTAACGTTCAAACTATCAACTGCATGCAGTACAACTCTGAACCGGTTGTACTGAATTCTATAATCAAACTCGGTCGCAATCACACAATGAGATAAACGCACACACGGAACAGTTGAAAAACAATGATTTGCTTTAATTGAAAAGAAGCTATTTGGTCTTTAACGAAGAAAAAAAAAAACAAGGAGACAAGAAAGAAAAGCTAACAGAATCATTACACTTGACGGTAAAAATAGCAAGAAGGTCGAATTATAACATTGATCTCAGAAAACTTCGCGTAAACAAAATCACCGGCCGCCGAAACCACAAAGCGGCTCTAAATGAAAAACCTACCGACTCTCCGCAATGATTCTTCATTCGCAGTTCAATTCAGCATTTCAGTTTCGAAGACAAGAGCAATTTTACTGTTTAAGATAAAGATTAAGCTTATCGAAATGTTTGAACTAGTTGCTTAGTTTTTGTAAATTTCTGACGTTTAAGCGTGGTCAAGCTCACCACTACCCAAAATGTTACACAGCTGTTGAATTTGCCAGAAGGGAGTTTAAGCAACGACGTCGACGACGATGGCCAAAACGACAACGGAAAAAAGTAACAGGTTTAGATCGGCAAAACAACAACTCTGCACGTGCATCACCCTTTTTGCACATTTCTTTTCCGTCTTGGCACGACCACAACATGAAAGTGCCTAATTTCACATTTTGTGGAGGACATGAACACAAGACGATTTTCGTCGTCGTATTTTTTTAAAACTTAGATACAGTCTTTTGGAATTCAACTCCAGAAAATTTCACCAACTTTACCAAATTGAACGACACAGAATAGGAGTGATGAATTTTGAAAAAACGTGAATTTACTTTTTCAGGGACGTTTTCGCCACCGTCGTTGTTGCTTAAGCTCCTCGTAATAGTTACAGAGTTCTGAGGTGTTTTTGTTCCAGTTTAAAGGACAACGTATAATAATCTAAAAAATCAGACATACCTGCATATGATTGTCCACAGTCATTGCAATGTTCGCTAGGGTAGCAGTACAGTACATCACAATTTCTGGGTTTCCATCAGACAAAGTCTCCAGCAATAAAGAAAGAGGCCTAAGAATGTTCAATGCTAAAAGTTTTAACTTAAAAACAATTAACACCTTTATTTGAAAAACAAAACGCCTACCTTTTGTTCCTATTTTAGAACTACCTAGTCAACCACGTCTCTAAGGGTGAGTAAGGGTTGATTTCCACTGTCGCCTAATTTTTCAGTGCGAAAGCACGCAAAATTTACGCACGTAATTAATGAAATAGAGGTAATGTGTGAAAGGCCACGCGTAAACGTGAAAGCTGAGCGAGGTTCATCTTTTACGTTTACGCGTGACCTTCCTTACATTAGGGACCTTAAGCGTCGAGAACGTCCCGGACGTCAAAAATGGCAACCGGAAGTTGATATTTTCTCTCTTTCAGCAGTCTGACCCGACAAATTCATACAACAGGAGTTGAAAGAAAGGCTTTCAGATTCGCTGTGTGCGACAAAAGTGGTCCATCAAGCGACACATCGAACTTTCGGCTGCTATTCATGACGTACGGGACGTTAGCGTTCTCGTTGCTTAAGCTCATTATTGTGAAAATCCACCTTAACTCTTACTAACGGGTGGACTTCCAATGTTGCGTAACCTTTACGTTTACGCACTACCTTTTCAAACATTACCTTCCTTTCACTACCGCACGTAAAAGTTGAAAATTTGTGCGTTTTGGTGTTTCGTTCACACGGAACCACCTTAACCGTGGAATATTTCAACGCCAAAATTGAGGTCAATTTGTTTGGAAAGTCATTTTATTCAATCTCAGGGTTGATTCCACTGCCGCGTAATTTTTCTCTGCGAACGCACGTAAAATTTACACGCGTAAATGAAATAGAGGCAATGTATGAAAGACCACGCGTAAACGTGAAATGTGAGGGAGGTTCAACTTTCACGTTTACGCGTGACCTTTCATAAGATGAATTTCCACTGTCGCGTAATTTTTACGTGCGTACGTACGTAAATTTTACGCGCGTAAACAAAATAGAGACAATGTATGGCCTCGCTCATCTTTCACGTTTACACATGGCCTTTCATACATTGCCTCTATTTCATTTACGCGCGTAAATTTTACGAGTGTTCGCACGGAAAAATTACGCGAAAGTGGAAATCAACTCATACATTGTCTGTATTTTATTTACGCACGTATAATTTACGTGCGTGCGCATGGGAAAATTACGCGACAGTGGAAATCCACCTTCAGTTCTGTTTACTGATAAGGCGCAGCGCAAAAACTGTTTAGTAAAGAACAAACAAAGCACTACTTTGGGCACTAAAAATTAAGGGTCATGCAGCAGCTGCTCAGAAGCGAAGTCACCAATGGTGCGTTTCCCTGACCCCAAACAATACTAAAACAATTAGAATGACAAGTCATTGTTTCCAGCGACCAATGAGAAGATACTTAAAAAATTAAGCGAGATTATTTTTTTGAAAGATCGATCATTATTTTACACTACTTATTACCTTGTCTTTCCCAGTTCCAGCTGCATTTTTGGATGAATACTGCTTGCAGTCAGCATTTTAGTGGCTACTACCTTAGGCATTGTCCTGGAATGTAGATCCATCAATGGTAGATAATTATGACCAAATCCAAGGCTGTGAAAACGAAATAATCATATTTAGTATATAGACACCTCCAGTGAAATACCAGATGAGCTTTCGCAAGAAAACATGATATCTTCACATGTGAAAAGATCACTGTTGCTATGGCTACATAATAAATCGCGCCTTTCACAGCCAAAAAGAAAGTAAAATAAATAAAAAGGGTTGGTGTTTCATTAATGTTTATATAATAAATAAAACATTACATGGTAGATTGAAGATACCAAATTTCTCTTCTCGTTTTGAAATCACTCGTTCGGAAGAGAACTATCGTATCTCCTCGCCGGTAGCCACGTAATATCCTCTCTGCATTTTAACTTTTAGGTCTGCAGTCCAAGAACGCACGCGAACAGTCGTCTTTCTTTTCTCAGGGCTGCGCGCGGCGAGCGAAGAAAGAAAACTTTATGCGAATCAACTTGCGTCCTCGAGAGTCGTCACTTGCGGGAAAGCGGGAGGAAAGGATTGAACGCGACTTTCGGTTGCTAATTTGATGCTCTGCCATTGGTCAAGCCGGTTCCAAAAAATGACAACTTAATGTTGGCATTTTGGATGGTCGCTTACGGCAGGTTCGAATGCAGTAGCTATGACCTCTGTGTGACCACGGAAATAAAACCTTACGAATAACCAATGCAAAGAACGATGCTACCTAGACTGATAACTGACCTGTAAAAAGAATGCTCCCCATCCGCAGAACTTCCCATACTACAGATGCTGTTCTTCTTCTGCATCACATACCCACCATGTACGTGTGGCGGCCACACATCAGAACGTACATCAGAAGCACCAGAATTATTCCTCTGCACAGAAACTTTGGAAGCAACCGCAACGGACATTTCTCGGAGACGCTCATCATATGAACTTTGACTACATGTACTTCTCTTGCGACTTCTCGGCCTATCATGACTACCTGGCTGGCTCGGCGGTGGAGAGTCAGTGTGGCGCAGATCAAATGCGCCGCTATCCACGTCGCTTGTTTGTAATAAGTTCAGGAGTGGTTCTAGTGGAATAGTCTTTAAGGCTGTGGAGAACTCTTGCTCATTGTTGAAGTCTAAAATACTTTGTAGGATTGATAAACAGGTGCTCTGAAAAGATAGCCATTAACAGAACATTAGAGAGCTTTAGGTTGTAAGACGAGTACGACTACGAGTACGAGATTTGCTCAATAGTAAGTAGTGCTCGCGCGTGAGGCAGCGTCATTTTGGCAGGAAAAGGTGGTAGCCGTCGCCATTCCACTAGGAGTTTAGCGAGAGTGTCGCAGTGGCGACAGCAAGTTATCAAATGTTAGAGTTTTAGCATTTTGCAATCGGCAGAGGTCTCAACCTCCTTCAATAACGATAACAGAGCTAAATTTTCTGGTAAAAAAGTACAATGAAGAATTCCCGGGTCTCTATTTTTTGACAATGTGCGAAAAAACTATTTAGGGAACTCGGCCATCAATGAGGTCAAGATGAACAAATAACAAATCCACCAATGAATTTCACTACGAGGCAAGCAAAAACAGTAAACCTGTATGGGCTCTGGACCATCCACCAGTTTCAAGACTGTTTCTATTAGTCCGGCTGCTACTGATCTCTTTCGACTGTCTGCTCCCTCAAGCTGATTAGGAAAAAATGACAATGATCATCAATAATGGTAACAATATTAAATCTATGTGGTAGTGACTGATGGCAAAAGCATAAGACCAGTTTAACAAAAAATTAACCAAGGATTGAAAAGTCTTTTAGTAATCTCTTTTAGAAGAGAACACATAGCCTGTCTACAGCAACCCTCTCCCATGAAACAAAATTTGTGGGGAAGGGGCGTCTGTACACAGGCTAGGTAGGGAGCGCCAAAACTTATGTCCGATTGTCCGGGACATGTAGAAATTTAGTTCAGACAGTCATGTAAACCTTTGACATGACTCCGCGGGACAAGCCCATTTTTAATTTTAAAAAAATACAGCACAGAAACAGTTGAAAATTGTCTTCAAATTACAGTAGAATAAAAATTTATCTTAAACTCGTAAAAGCAAACCTCATACTTGACAAAATAAGGTCAAATATTTCTTTTAACTTTGACATACCGCGACCATTTCATTTGTTTTTCGGCTCGTGATTTACAAGCTTTTCTCGTGTTCTTCCAACATCCTGCGTGGGTAATCACGCCGGTAAACCCATAGAAAGTGTGGTCTACTGCTTAAGTATACTCACATTAAACAGATTGCCAATGAGCACCGCAATATGATTGTTGATGACAGCTGAAACAGAATCCATGTGAGCCAAACTGGTGAGCTGACTGGCTGCTCTTGGAAGGCACAGGTAAGCCAGCAGGCTGGAATGACACTCAGGGTTACCAGAAAGAAGGACCACTGGCTCCAGGGCCTCAATCACGGGGTCCTCTTCTCTAGTGTAGTGGGAACCCGTGCTTAGTATGGAACTTTCCTCGCATTCTGATGGACTCCTTTGACAACTCTGAAAGGAGATTGTAACAAAAACATCAAACATCATGCTTGTTTTCTCCTTTCCAGCTGTTAGTGTAACCTGTGCTACAGACGGCGGAGCTAAACGTCTGGCCCTCGTTGTTCAAATTCTAGATAGCGCAATCATTATCCAGCAGATACGTTCAATTGTATTAGCGAAACCAATCACGTTATCGACTGGATAGAGATTTATCAGATGGACAGTGTTATCCAGCTTTTGAATAACTGGCACCTGGTTAAGTCCATCTGCAAAACAGCGCCGAAATCCTTTATTTGGGCTGCAATTTAACCGCAGTCAAGGTCACATATAACTTCTCTGCTCCCTGTCTCTAAAAAACTTGGTATTTAAGGGTTTAAAACGAACCAAGTCCTCCCAGTTGGCTTGCTAGCTCAATGGGTAGAGCACTGCAGCAGTGTCGCAGAGGTCAGGGGTTCAAATCCTGTACAAGCCTGATTTTTTTTTTCAACCTGTCTTCTCCCAACTGCAAAAGTTGCATCAATGACTGCAATGATTGTCTTTCATTTATCACCCCGCACTTCCTGTAAATGTATACGATTTTCATATATTCATTATTTCATTTTCGTCCTATCAAAACTTTATACAAACTAAGTCTATGACTTGCTCCCGGTTGGCTTGTTTACTAGCTCAATTGGTAGAGCACTGCACGCGTGTCGCAGAGGTCGTCAAAGTTTTGAATTTTTAGGCTTTCATTTTGCAACTGTAAAAGTTAGGTCTATAACAACTGCGATGATCGTCTTTCACATAATTTCAAAACTCAGTATAGCTATTAGACTACCTGCGAGGCACATATTAGTGTACATACCACTGCAGATTGATCTGACTCCAGACTGGGCTGCCTTACATTGGACAACTTCATTTCCACTGCTAAACTAGTGCCCTCTGTCACTTGAATATCAGGTGAGGGCGTGGCGTGATCCCCAATCTTGGTTGGCACTACATCTGTCCCCACTTCTTTATCATTAGCCTCCAGATCATCAACGAACTGAATCAGATTGGACACTACTTTTTCCTCTTCCGATGATGACTTCGTAGGAATAAATGGAGTCAGGAGATTAGATTGCAAAGAAGGTATTGATGACACAACAGATAATGGTGCGACAAAGTTTTCTTGAGTATCCGCTGCTGAGGGTATCTCTTGTTTAGTAGAGGTTGTCACAGGAACTGCTATTTGATTTTCTCGACTGGTATCTTGTGCTTCAGCCTTCCTACATTGGGACAATGCTAAATCCTGCTCTACAGCAGACTTGTCTTGAGAAGAGTAGCTCATATCAGCATCTGCTTTGTTATTTATGAAAGCATTGACATCAGATTTTTCCGACAAAGAATTACTTGGGTTAAGTGCTAACTGTGTCTGTCCTGATAAGCTCTTTGGCTCACTCTGATCTGAGTCTTGCACCTGAATTGTTCTATGAAAAGCATGCATATGCAGAAGGGCTCCTCGTCTGGAATTGGCTGAAAAAAGGGTACAACATTCATACGTTATCATCAATGAAATTTGCGTGGAAGAGACAGTCAACTCAACAAATGCAATGTAATTAAGTAATCCGTAATGTGTTGCGATACTGTGTTGAGTCTAGCAATAAGTGTCCCTCTTATCCCTCTCGTCTGGCAGCATAAGGCAGCCCCTGGTGACATCCTTTTGCCTTGGGTGACAAGGAATCATAGCTTTTGCACAAAACGTTAAACTAATAATCAATAGTTACTCACCATTGTAAAGTGCAGCCTTGCAGATCTTAGAGATAAAATACAGACAGGCAATACTCACCAAGCAGAGGGCTTTGAGCTTTTGAAAGATGGATGCTCTCTGATCTCTTAATTGGCCTCTTCCCTCTCACTGCTTCTGGACTTCCATGCCCTCCCGACATGGAGCACAAACTTGAAGACCTTCTGGGCTGTAACAACTCTCGGCGCAAATTAGACGCCTTCTCTACCTTGGGAGATTGGGCACTAGACTTGGTTCTGGCACTCACTGTGTGGTTCATTAGCGACGCTCCTGAGTTTGAACGTGATTTGGTTATATCCGTGGCAGCAAAAGCCTCACATGCTGACTGCACAAGGAGTCTCTGCATCTCTTTGAGTTCCTACGCAGAATATCAATTTTGGAAACTGCTGTTACAGTGTGAAAGATATTTCACATGGTGTATTTCAGTATTTATCTCACTATCTTTTAAGTTGTTGTACATGTAGATTTGTACAACTGGTAAACCTCGGTTGCTTGTACAGTAGAATCCTGGTTTCTTGCTCAAGTCTTCACTTTTTAGAAATTCCTGATAATTTGCCTTTGCCGGTCAAACACTAATTTTGCCCCCAGTTTTCAAACCTCTCGATAATTCCAACCAATTCAGTTTTCTCAAGCTAGTTTGAGAAACTGGGATTCCTCTGTATTACACTTTAACAGTACAATGTGAATTATTTAGGAGAATAAAACCCATGTCTCTTTGGATATAGAGCATGTTGTAGGTAAAAATGCATTCTCAAGTTAAACCAGAATATCCTTTGTGGAGTGTGAATAACTTACTGGATCTAAGTCGACTGGTCGTACTCCATGAATATTGTTTTCATATATCCTTGCACCATGTTCGACTAAAAGGAATGAAACTTCCAGTTTGCTTCTATGTCCAGCAGACATGTGCAGCGGTGTACAGCTACGAATTGGATCAATAAAATTATTACAATTAGCATTTGCAGGCATTTGCAAACATACTCTTTGATTTAAGTTGGTGATCGTTTCATCAACAGGAACATCAATCTGAGTTCCGCTCAGTGTATTGGTGACACTGTACTTTTTTTGGTGTTTTTGGTTAGTATTAACTTTTTTATTACTTTTTTAAAAATTTACTTTAAGAGTCTTATTCACTTCACAGATCTCCAGCTTCAAAATAACTTATTACAGTCTGCCTGCAGAACAATGCAGCCTTTACTTCCAACTTTCCTATAATACAGTACAATCCAAGTCACAAAATGTGCAGAATTACCCTGAATGAATTGTCATGGAAACGAGGTAAACACATGATTGATACCATATGACAAGAGTCAGTCAATAAAGAAAAGATGTTTAAGGGGGCTCACTCTCTCTTCTCCTTTGATTTTTTCCTCCAAAAAAAAAAAAGTGTTACAAGGACATGACATTGTAATTTCACCGTCAGGTATTTTCCCCAGTTGTATTTCAAACCTGGTGAGAAGTGAAAGGACTCATGTGATGGTAATGTTAAATAATTTTTGATGTGGTTTGCTGTATTGGTTTCCTTTGCTGATTGGTACAGCTACCAGCAAATGAAGCTGATAGTTGGTGGAATGGGCAGTAGTTTTAACCTTGCCTTTAGAGTTAATACTGAATGATTTTTTTTCCTTAATTCTTCTTCTCTTCTCTTCTTTTCTTTTTTTTTTTCTTTTTATCTGACTTGATTATGATTATTTTTTCCAAGCCTTTTAACTGTCAAACATGTAAAACAATGTAGGACTTATCATTAATTGGCAGGTGCAAAGTAGCATGGAAAGGACCAAAAAAATATATTGTCTGGCTTTACTCAATTTGTGGATTACAGGCTAATGCTTGACATACATGTAGAGCATTCATTATATGAATAAATATGATCTGTTTTTTTCACTTAAAATCCCAAGAATTGTAGCCAACATGACTTAACACTCTGTGAGCATTCTCGTCTAGTTAATTATCAGAAACAAATTACATGTACCAGTCACATTGCTGTTTGCACTTACAAGTTGCTGTCTTTAGCTCTGACATTTGCACCATACCAAAGAAGTAATTGAGTGACAGCTCTGTTGCCAGCAGATGCTGCGACATGCAGTGGTGACTTGTCATCAGGCCCTTCCCAGTTGATATCTGCACCCCTAAACACAAAAAATTGACAAAGATGAAATTAATTTTATTTCCTTTGTTTATCATTAAATGGTATTAATTTCATGAGGGTAGGAAATGATTTGCATCTCACATCTCTTCATCTTTACTACTAGGAAAAGTAGAACTCTGAAGCAGGGCTCGAAATTGCGACTGATACAGTCGCCAATGCGACTAACATTTTTTCCTTGGCGACTAAAAATTCTGGTTTAGTCGCCAAAGTGGCGACCAGATTTTAGAAGTGTAAAATTAAAACGAAAATTTCATCTTATCTTGCTTTTCATCCCGTGGGGGTTTGGGTACTCCCATACATTACCTATATGGATATGTGCCGCCCAACAGGGTCGTGATTTTGAAGCTCCTGATTTAGAATGGGGTATCCATTTCAGAGGCGTTTTCTAGAACGGGGTATCATATTTCGAACGCACGAAAGTTCCAGTTTTGTAAGCAGCCATTTGAAATTACTCAAGGACAGATTGCTTTTAAAAATATGGTTCAATGCGTTAACAAGCAAACTGTTGTACTCCGTTGCACCTTAGAACGGAGTATAAAAAATTGGCCCATTTCTAGAACGGGGTATCAGTTTTAGGGTGAATTCTAGAACGGGGTATCAATTTTAGGGGAAATTTTTTTTAGAACGGGGTGCCAATTTGGAGTCCCGGCCGGCACATACCCACCCAAAAAATACCCAAGTGCCCCCCCAGGCTTTTCTTTCATCATGGAAAATGTGCCAAATCAATCACATAAACAAACCCAGTTTACCTCCAAATTTAAACTGACTTCAAGATATTTTCAAATCTGATGGATCGCACCACACTATGCTGGGCTTCTGATAGGTAGTGGAAAAAAGGCAAATTTCGTGGGATTTTTAGGGGGAAATTCGCGGAAACATCGGCCGATTTTGCTGCACTTTCACGGGAATGTTTGGGGCAAACTTCCCCGAAAATCAATCAGTAAAAAAGGCCGATTTTGTGGTTATTTTTGAGGGAAAATTTTGTCAGATATTGATCGGTTTTGGCCGATCAGACCAGCAGTTTTAATGTTTTTCTAACAGGGTCATCCTTTGCTTTGCTCTTGGCAAAGCCTTTAACATCATGGCTAGTGCCCAATTTTCACAACATAATCTACGCCTGGTAGTTTTGGGACGTTATTTGCACGTTTCACTGATGAAGTATCAAGATTTACGGCAAGTAAATAGCCCCCAATAGCTGAGATAAGTTTCAAATATGTTGTACAGACATGTATTTGATAAGATTTCTACTGAATTTCGCGGTATTTCGCGTATTTTTGTGAATTTCGCAGCTCTGCTCCTGCTCAAAATATCAGAAGCCCTGTACCTATGAGCTGCGTCATTTACATTTTACAAAGTGGCGACTTAAAATTTGCATCTGGCGACTATATTTCTACAGTTGGTCGCCACAAGACAACCAGAAGATTTTTTTAATTTCAAGCCCTGTGAAGTGTTTTCTACAGCACCAAAACAATTCCGCGATCCAGAAGTCAAACATCACATTGTTGTATGTTGTAGGTAGAATCTACAGTTGTATTTCAGGTTAAATCATCATTCACCCTCATTTGATTAAGAATTTCCTTTGTTTCCTGGAAGTAATTATTCATTGGAGACAAAAGAAATTCTGGTTTAACCTGACAACAGATTTTACCAACAACAGCAGCCCTGTAAAAAAGACCAATGCGGCATTCATTCAGTATAATTATGACATTCCAAGAGTTTTCCATGTCAAGAAGGAAAGAGGAATTCTTTTTGTAAAGATCAGTCATAAAGGAGGACACTTGAAATACCAGGAATAAAAACAAGCGTATTTTCAAAGGTCTGGATTAACTGAAAGCTCACCTTTTCAAAAGAAATTGAGTCATTTCAACATCACCAAGTGAGACAGCATAATACAACAAACTTCTCCTTGAAGCATCATGCAAATTCACAGACAGTCCATTCTGTAGAAACTGTTCAACAAGTCCTGTGTTTCCTTTCTCTACAGCTGTTATCAAACTGTGAAGAGTTTCTGGATTCTTCTCTTCTTCATTTTCAGATAATGGCAAAGTCATGTCTTGGGGCTCAAGTCCTTTGTATTTCCCGAGAATCAATGAGACACAATCAGAGGAAGGTATACATGTACTTTCTTTATGAAAACTTTCAGTAGGAAAAAGAGTTGTTGCTAAAAAATTCTCCGTAACATGATCCTTACCAATCCTTCCATAATCCTGTTCCCTTGAAAATTTGCCTTTTTCTAACAACTCATTTGGTTCCTTGCTCGCCGTCTCGGCACTTTCTGGTGAGGTTTTTATCATATTCTTAAGAGAGTTCACATGGGGCCTGTCTTTTGTATTTGGTGCTACAGCCGGCTGGGAGTGTATTTCTTCCACAGAATGACACCTATAAGATTGTCCTTTTCTTGTTCCATCAGAAGGTACGACAGATCTTTTATGTTCCATAATGGGTAGGCTTGACCTTCTAGTCGCGTCGTTCCCTACTCTCTTCACCCAAACAGGAAGTTCTGGTTGCATAGATGGTGGTAATGCATGCACATCTGCTTGAATTTCACACTGTACATCAATAACAGCTTTCTTGCTCTGGTTTGGTTCTTTACCATCACTATCACTGCCATCTGATGGAACAGGAGATAGTGCAGAAAACTCAACATGCCGCCCTGACGAAAAAGAGCTTGTTGGATGTCGAAGAATTGAAGGACTTGTGGTACTTTTGTTTAACTTTTTTCCATGTGGAGACCTTCGTCCAGATGTTTCCCCATGTTTCCACTGCACATGTGGATGGCGTCTATCTACCGATGAACTACCAACAGTTGAAGTAGTAGAAACTTCTGAATTTGTGCGGGTTCGCTCTGAACTACTAATTGAATGAGTTCTCTTTGCCCGTCGAGATTCCCTTTCAATTTTCTCGCGTCTCAATTTCCCAATAGCTTTAAATGCCAAAGCTACCGTTCGTACAATACTAGCAGCCTGAAATATAAGACAAAAGAGAAACAATGATATTAACACAACAATGAACTCACAAAATTCTGTCAAGTCATTTAAATAGGCCTTATTCAAAATACCCACCATCCCTGCATGTGCTTTAGGATTAGGTAATTCCGGGGCAAACAAGTGATACAAACATTAACCATGACAGATAAAATACTGCAACTACAGCACTGTACACTCAAGATTTCAAAAAAAGTTTTCCTTCACGTGAAAATCATTTCAAAGATGCAACACGTCCCTTTAAGGTGGGCATGGGGTGTATGTAAAACTGTAAAACTGAAAAAATGCTTAAAATATCACCTTCAACCAAAAAACTGCAATAGGTTTTCGATCAAAACCAAAGCTATAAAACAACCTGTTCGAAGGAGCAAACATTGCCTGAAAATTTCTCAGGCTCAACAACAGATAAAAATTTCTTGATAACTGTTCTATGTGTCTAAGATATTCAGAGGTATTCTACCAACTTACTGTACCGATGATTTGCAAATGTTGTGTTTTTCACATTTTATTAGCAAGATATTGCGATATCGTTCAAACATATCTCCTGAAAATTTCAGTGTAAAGACAAAATGTCCCCTAGAATTTTCTAATAAAAGTACAGCTACTCCATTCCCTCAAAGTTTCAACCAACCGACACATCAGGCTAGCTAACAATTTTGGATGAGACAAAAAAGCCACCAAAAACTAAACTTTTCCTACAACATGCAAATTAATAGATAAATAGTCTGTTTTTAGGGCAGCTCCAAATCAACCAAACAGACTTCTAAAGCCTAGAGAAAACTATTTGAGACACTTTTGACGAATCTGGAAACATTCAGTCGTTGGGTATCCCTGTGTTCTTTGCCTTACTGCGGCACCTTATGCTGAGACCCAGTTAATGAAATACAGTGGTACCTCTCCTTCAGGACTCCTCTATTCAAGAGACACCTCCATTCAGGGGACACTAGATTTGGCCGTGAAAAAATGTTCACATAATTTTTGTATCTGTTACCTCTATTGAAGGGACACCTCTATTCAGGGGAAAGGGACACTTTTTCTGGGTCCCCAAACCCGGGGTTTAATCTTCATTCAGGGAACACCTTAGCGATCAAAAGTATGTCACAAGTGACTGACCACAAAAATCGTTGATAAGTTTAAGTGCTCACTAGTCACAATGGCGACAGCTTTGAAAACATGGATTAACTCACTTCAATCGATTTACAGAAAACTGCGTTTGTGGGAATTCAACACACAACATCGCTGAGATAAGTTAATCACTATTTTTGTTATAAATTATCTAGCTGCTTCAAATAATGATTGCAGCAGATACCGTAGCCCGGAGAACAGAGGCCTTTTTCGGCTCTTATAATAATGTTATTTGATGGTAAATTATTAACAAACCCCAGCCGAACCTTCTTTTACGGGACAGAGGGTGTCCCCTGAAGAGAGGTTCCACTGTAATTCGCAAACATTTTACACAAAGGTTGACCGCAGGAAGAATTGCTATCATTGGTACTTTTTCAAGGAACATACAGCATTAGGTTTTAGGTACCTGGACTTTTGACTGGTGTGATAATATGCCCTCCCACAGTGTGAGGCAAGTTTTTAACGTAGTCTCTTTCATAGTTGCACCAATTTAAGAGACCTGACATTCACTTTTTTGGAGTGGACTAAGAAACTGGAAACCACATTGGAAAAACCGAAAATTTCAGACACCAAATTCAAAAACCGCTTGTATTTTCGTCAAAACCCGAAATCTAGATACTAAAAATGCGAAAACTGCAAACCCCAGTGGCTATCAAAACCAAAAAAAGAAATTTATTTGTGCAAAACCAAAACACAAACAACCGAAAAAATGGCCAAAACCGTGAAACTGAAAATCCCAACACCCCCCTCCTTTTAATCACCCAGTTTCTGTGCAAGCCACCCACAGTTCTTGACACTTTGCTTATGTATTTTGGTGATGTTTAGATATCTTAATTAAAGGAATATATTTATTGTGTTGAACTCGAAACGCGATTGTTAATTTTATCAGAATTCAGTTTTACGCAATAAAGTTGGTCTACACCTGAAAGTTGAAACCTTAACCTGTAGTTTGTAACCAAGCTAAGAATGATCGAATTTTTGCGTGAGAGAACTTCCACGTCTATCACTAAAAATGACAGACTGGACCACAGAACTTCGTGAAGAAGTTTCCGGGATACAGATTTTAATCACTGAATGTATTTATGCAAAATAAATATTACCATTTAATAAAATTTTACGATCGACGAGTAATCTATCTTTTGAGAATGAGGAGACATATTTCGTCTTTATTAAGCTAACAATGGAAAAACCACTGCGCAAGCCCTTTGTACTGCTGGGCCAAGTGTTTACGAGAAAATAGGAAATGTGCAAAACAACGTGAAATTGGTGGCGTGACAAAGGTCGATCTATGACAAAAACAACGCTTGTTTTCGTCCCGCTCAATTCATTTCAAGCCTTCAGGCCATATTATAATCTAATATCAAAACCAGAATCACTGGAGATTTCGGTGATGTACTTAACAGAGTAAAAATTCGTTTGGTTTTTAGCCAAAGAACACGCGCGACTGCGTCAAACACACTAAAATGTTTTGAGAATTCAGCTTCTTGAAACGAAGTACATGGCACAGCTGTTATCACCTTTAAAGCGGTTTCTCTCGTAACAAAGGCTTAAAAACGTATCAAAATATCAAAACATCGCAAACGAATACCTGCCCCAGAGGGAAATCAAAACAGAGCACTCTTAGCCTGTGATGTAAACAACTTGAATATTGACGGCGTTTCCTTACCTCGAGTTTAGACCCAGCTTCGAATACATGACACATGTGGGTCTTCTTTCGGGTGATATTTAGCCCAAAACAGCTATCGAAGCCTCGAAGTTGTTCCTGTGCACACAAGGCAATAGCATAAAGCGGCGCTGTAAGGATTAATGAGTTCGACTCACAGCTAGAAACTAGAAGAATGCCATCGCGAATTGTGAAATTGACTCGTATGCTCCGAACTTGCAGCTTTTTAATCCGCTTCAAAGTCTCCATCATTCTTGTTATCGACTTTGCTTCTGATATTTGTGCTGAGCCAACATAATCTACAATAAAATGTAGTTCTTCCGAACCATACTCTTCCACTCTTCGACTTTCTGCTTGTGGTATCAAAAGTGCAGTAGCTTGATTAGCTTGGGAACTTTCTTCATCATAACCTGTTGTTATAGAGGAATCGGCGACACGAACTTCGTTCTCCGTTCTTTGCCATCTCTGGCTTAAACGTCGCCTCAGAGATTGCATTTTCCCTTCAGTTCTTTGTTGAAGTATACTCCGTAGCGGGAGTCAACTTTTAAAAGGTATCTTGTCATCGTACTTGGCCAAATTATCCCAGAAAAACAACGAACCCTACACGTACCACTTTATAAAAACCAAATCTTCGCGGTGTCAAGAACCAGTCGGGAAGTAACTTCGCAAATCAGTTACATCCTCGAAAATATTGGATCCGCTGCATACCGTATTCTGTCACATCTTTAGTAAACTTCTTGGCATTCTGTGAAAGAAGGCGAGTTATGCCAAGGTTTCAAAGCCAAGGAACTTCAACGCAGACTGTACTTGCCATTCACAACCATGCTGTTTGCAGGCGAGTTGTTTGTGAACAGGCCGGAAGCTCGTAATTGGTTGATTTTTGATCACATGGCAGTGACTGCCGGGTTCGAAAATAAAATGCGCGAAAAATGGTCAATTTCGTGTGCTCTCAGAACACTCAATCAACATCACTACGAAAAATGCAGATGCAATAACGGCAAATTTATCAATCTTGTCTCAACTGCACGTCTCAGTTATCACAGATGATTACATCCATATAGCCATTTGTCCCTCGCCCAGCTGGAAATCTCAAGATCTATCTTTACATAGTAAACAATTTTTGTACAAGGCCGCTCAAAAAGGTTTAAAACTGATGTCTCGATAATTTTTAAGTGAAATGTCCGCCCTTATAACGGCACTGGTCCCTATTTTCTATCTATTTTTTTATGCTCCATAAATAAGTTCAATATCTTTCTTTGGCAAACTTAAAATTTTAAAAGTTGTTTTTTTAGTCTGTTAAGGCTTCCATCTTTTAATAGTAAAGGATTGGAAATCCTTGTTCCATAAACAGTTCAGACTAAAGACTAGATTTTCCTGACGTCTTATATTCCCGTGATCTGGCAAAAAGCTTTAGATTATTTACAAAATTACAATATTGGAGCCGCAATAATATATGCCCAGCGTTGTTTACGCTATAACTTGACTCTAAATTCCATTTAAAACTACCCTTTACTTTCTCTCTACGTGCATCAGTGCATAAGAACTCGCTTATGTTCAACATTTCAATGGAAGATACACATCTTAAGGCGTTTTGTGGTTACCGGATTTTAGTGGCTTGTTACGTAATGAAACGCAAAAAAATATTTCTGCTTCCGTTTTTACTTTACGCGCCAACGATCGATGCTCTACTATGCGACCAAATACGCAATAGTCGTTTCTGAGGTAGCAAAGTGTTTCCGCTTTATTAGACTGTAACGCAAAAAGCTATGCATTCATGCAAAGACAAGTTCCCGTCACGGATCATTTGCGTTCAATAAGAGAACTTTCAGTGACCGAATCCAACCGCAAAACGGAATTCGGAAGAACTGGAGACTCTAAGATTTTACTGGAACGTTCAGTTATAGTAGTGATATTTAGTGTTATAAAAGTTTTGCTTGTTTGAAAATACTTGAAAACCTGTTTTTCGGCATTCCGTGACCAGTTAATTTTTAAATACGTTAGTGTGGAGCAATTTACCCGAAAATGAGTACCCACATGCTCTTATTTTCATTCCCAGCCTGGCAATGTTTATAATTATTTACAGCTCTCGTGGTTTGTAGTTCAGCCTTCTGCGAAAAACATTGTTATTGCAAAAAGAGAAGGGTCAATGTTACTGTCACTGTATCAGTTATTACTTAGTTAAACCTTTGGCGCCAAGGATTTTCTGTTGAGACTCACACCTGCCGCTTGGATGTTGATGCCTCAGGGTCAGATTTACGATAGGGTTCATTTCAGAAACAGGTGAGGAAAAGGGGGATCGGGTGGGAAAGGGGGTTGTACGGGCAACCGGGGAACTTGTTACATTTCTCTCTGTTCCCCATGCATCCAGTGAAAAATGGGGCCCGGGTTAAAAAGGGGCTCAACCACGGGCGAAAGGGGAACCCCCCTATTAGATCCCCGTCTGTTCCCTCGATCAGTAGGCACTTAGCATTGAACTTGCGGCGACGAGAAGTGGATCACAACGTAAATATAAAATACATATTTTTTTCAATATTCTTTTTGCCTTGATTTCCGACAATTTCGCAGTAAGGGCTAGTATGTTGTCCTTGCATGTCCTGCGCGCCTGCTACTGATCGCGGAGATATCCGTCCGTCCAACCACAGTGAAGACAGTGAACTTCTTCACCGCTTCGATTATCTCTTCGGAGGTTGTTAAACTATTGACGGACACGGCATACGACAACCTCGTCTACGATGCAGATCGAAAGTACGGATGAACAAGGGTTCAAATCATTCATAGTTGAATCATGCAGTGTCATTTTAATCCAGGGAAACAAATTAAAGGGCTGCAAGCGAGACACTCCCTCTATAATTTTTAGCAAGGGTGGGAAGAAGAATGCTCCTGGGAGTCAAAAAATAAAGGAAGCAAGGGTTTAGCCAGAATATTATTTCCGACGATGATACGCACCGTTTCCCCCAGCTGCAAACCACCCTAACCTTTCTCCCAAAGCGTTTCCACATAATACATTTGCTTTCTTATCAGCAAGCGCTATTATAATGAATGTTAGGAAGTAGCAAATGGCTTGGGTAGTATCAAGTAGATGAAAATGCGTTCAAAACGCGCGTCTTTCTAATACTCAGTGTACCGTTTTTATTTAATTTTTGGACCATAGCTTGGGGAAATCAAACGGTTATTGATCCTTAAATCGTGTCAAACTCCATTCCATTCAGACAGTGCTTCTCGATTTAAAGCCATTATTTTTTCTGGATCACGCAGTTTGACCGGAATTTCCATGAGCGATGCTCTTTTTTGTTTTATAGCTGTCCCTGGCTTTTAGTAATAGGTCCGTTATGAAAACAAACTGAGCCCAAGGTCACGGTTGAAAAAAGTACTATTCAAAAGATCAAATAGATCAAAAGCCCTGCAACAAGGAGCAGTTTTGCCCTTTCTTCCTCCGTCCCCTAATTTCCTTCTTTTGCTTACACTAACAATTGCACTGATTTAGTCCAATAATAACAAGGCCTTGACTCTATGAAAACCTAGACTTGCGAAAAACGGTGCATGCTTAAGGTTCATTGTTATTATTGCAATCATCAACAGCGCCCTTCCTATCATGACTTGATTATTTCCTGCCGTCTACTTAAGTTTATAGTTTTTGTTTTGATTAATAGCTGTTATTAAAAATCTTCGACATGTTTTTTTTTTTTTTCGCACGTGGGTCTGACGTACATACCGGGAAGTTTTTTGTGGTTTAAACGCACCCTTCAGGGTGACTTGTTTTTTCCTTGTTAAAGACAAATTTGTTTGTAGATTATTGTACTGAACTGTTTAGTCTTATCCTTGACTGTCGCAGTCGTGTATTTACATACGTCTGGGACGTTTTCGGTCTTTTCGTGATGTCGCAGAAGTGTTTTAAGGGTCCTTGAACCGATTTGAACCACTAGAAAAAACAGTCGTGGACTATTAAACAAGTCTGGAAAGCTAAGTATTGTGAGCATGAGTGACTAATGATTGTTTACCGGATACAATATTCTCGTTTAAACTCTCCTGTTATGACCTGACCAGGGGCGGATCTAGGGGGAGGGTGCAGGGGGTGCACCCCCCCCGAGATGACCTGCGGTTTTCTAATACAACTGTTATTCTGCCAAAAAAACTATGTGTTTTATTGGTGTTGAAGTAGAGCAGGAGACGAGTGCACCCCCTCCTAAAAAGAATCCTGGATCCGCCCCTGCTGACGTTCGTTTGAAACTGCTGTTGATTCGGGCCAGAAGAAAGGTTCATCCTTTTAGCCGTTTATTTAGCCCAATAGTTAAACATGATTATAAAGCTGACAAATAAATGCTCATGAAATGCTGGATGGTTCCTGCCCGGAAACTGTGTTGTACCCAAAGCTAAGGTTGTTGTACCCGGAAACTGCCCCAAATCAACGGAATATTCCGCCGCGAGTGCAAAACTCTTATTTTCCTGAATGACTGTCTTTTTTTCATGTTTTTTTTTTCTGCAGGTTTTGGTAAAGATTCCGACAAAATGACGGTGTTGGTTTTTGTTCTTTCGCCGAGTTTTTAGATTGCTTTACCCTGACCGGCGCATGAGCTAGTTAGCCTTCCATAGTGGCCAGGAGCAAGCCCCGGTAACTTTTCGGGACAGAAATCAAATTTCCAAATTCAATTCTAAAGAATAAGAGCGTGGCTCGTAGCTAAACAACCAACCCATTTTGTTTTGTTAGCTCAATGAATTGTATCGTATTATTTGGAAAACTTTTGAACAACTTCAAAAGTTTTCCGGCTCCGTCTTTCGATAAGGCCCCAGGGGAGACGAGGGGGCCTGATTAGGGGGGTGGGGTGGGGCGGGAAGGCCTGACACACAAACGCATACACAGGACAGGATCGTACCCAGTGTCCTGTCTCGCTTCGACAGATAGGAAGTTTTTGGCGGTGAGTTCGCGTTACATTTTATAGGTGAGGAAGGAAGTTCCTCCTTTTTTCCCAAGCGCCTAACAACTTACCAGCTAGTAGGTTTCAATGCGAATAGACAGAAGGAATAATGAGGAGACACCTGGGCCCAATTGTTTGAAAGCGGGTTCAATCCTAACCTCGAGTTTATTGGTTAAATACGAGGATAAACTTTAGTCGCAGGTTTATTGTGTTGCTCAAACATCGGGTTAAAGCGGGTTAAATTACTTCATCCCGCTAACTAGGCAAGTTAAATGACTAGGCTCAGGTTGAAAGATAATAAAAGTGTATCTAAAACAAAATGGCTGACTTGTTTTCTTGCAAAAACAGAGAAGATTCTGATTTCAAGACTCTTTGTTGTTTTTGAAACGGTATACTGGAATTCGATAAATTGCAAAAGAATGAAGTTTCTTCTACTTCTCTCGGACTTCTCTCCCCAAATAATGGAGAAGAGAGGAGCGCTGAACTACTACGTAAGAGACTAAAATCAGTTTGAATTTTTTAATTAGTAAAACAGAGACACTTCTTTTTGGAAAGAACAACAGCAGATTAATAAGTAATTCT